CCATTTGAGGCTGATTGTGATTGTGGGCACTGTGGCCCTTCGCTTCTCTGGAATAGGGGTAGGATGAACCTTACTGTCCCACAGCACCTTCATCAGCGTCAGCGCATTCCATCTGAACACAGTGCGCTCAGTAGATTCAGTAGACCCCTGGTTACCTTTCCATTTGGTTAACGGACTCAGGACTGTCATTTCTGACTCTCCCCGTCACTAGGGCCTCCGGCCCAGCCTCGGGCCCTGCGTCTAGTTGGGCTCTGTGGTCAGCGTGTCTGGGATGGCTCAGAGGCAGGGCTCTCCTATGACTTGGGAGTTTCTGAAGAACACAGTCCTTTTGTGTGGACGGGACGTGCCTCGCACTGGTTTACGTGGTTTCCTCAAGATGAGTTGCAGGGTCCCACACCCACAACGATGCCTCTCTCTGGGGTGTGGTGATCTCAGGCCCTCTCTCCATCGATGCAGGAACCTGGAAAGTGTCCCCCCGCCCCCCCAGCAGCATATACGAAGCCGCTTAGTTAATGGAAAAAGTCCTTTTCTTCTCATTCTCATTTTTCCAGAACTTTCTGAAGGCCTCTCGTATGGTCCCATTGAAAACCAGGCTGCTAGCGAATACCTCCTTAGTCACGCTGACTTCTCTCTGCGAGCAGAGGCAGCACTGCTCTGGGTCTCCTGTGTTCCCGCTCCAAAACAAACCACCTCCCCCGCCCTCAGGCCCCCTGCCCACCTCCAGCCTACAGGGATCCCACATGTGACTCGGTCATATGGGGCTGTTTCATGAGGGGCTGGCAGCGCCCTAATGGGTGTGCTTTTCATGGATGCTCCATGCTTCCGCGCCATCACACACCTCGCCATGAAGGTAGTAGAAATACTCCTCGCCCCACTCTGCTGCCAAATGCTAGGTGTTGGCAAGGGGAGCGCACACGCAATGGGTTTGCTGTCTGCCCAGATCACAGGTGCCGTGCCTCCACCTTACCGTGTGTGCGTCCACCTGTGAAACAGTCCTCAGTTCTAGGGTTCGTGAAAGGAGAGTGGGGGCTAGGACAGATTCAGTGGGGTGCGAGCCTTTTTTATGCACTCAAATCTTTTTAAAAATCATGTTTTGAGGTAACCATCTTAGAGAAAGTCTGGCGAATGAATCTATCAGAGAGTTAGGTTATGTTCCCGAGGAATGGAAAGCTAGCTGGCCTCCCTCAAGGTGGTAGAGTGATTGTGAGGATTGATATTCTCCTCCTGCTGAGACCTGGTTACCTGAATGTGGGGGTTTCTCCCCTCGACGGACCCTGGAGCATCTCGGGTCCAGCTGCACCTCCATTTTCGTCTCCCGATGGCCTCCTTCAAGACCATGACACACAGACTGCACATTTCAGTTCTACTGTAACCCTCGTCTCCCTTCTCGTTCTCGCTGAATTTCCTAATCCGAGAAGGGTTCCCTTCTGGACCCACACTGTGAAACTGTGGGTCGGCCAACGTTTGACATCTTCTCCATGACCCGTCACGCTGAAGCTGTTTATAGGCACCTGCTGACGGAGGCACACCCTTTCTGACCCTGCGAAGTCAAGCACAGTGCTCAGAGGTCCTGCGCATTTTGAAGAAACTGAAGAGAGGCTCCCGCTTTCCATCTTGCACTCCTCAGTATCCCAGGAAAGCAAGGCTCAGCGCTCTGTCGCAGGGCAGTGTCTGGGTGGGCAGGTTATGAAGCAGGCAAGACCTTTCCGTTTGCTTTGCTCAGGTGTTTATAGACAGAATGGAGTTTGCTAAAATGCATGTCAAATAAGCAGGTTCAGATGAGCAAAGCCTAGTGTGTGTGTGAACGAGATCTTTTTTTAAAACACTTTCCTGTTTCATTTATGTGGAAAATCTGACTTTTCCCTCTAATAATACTGGATAAATAAAGACTGGGTTTATTTGTCTTTATTTCAAGTTTCTTTTTTGAGAGCTTGCTGAGTTAAGAATACCAAAATTAAACTTGTTTGAAGTGTTCTAAAGTTTCTTTCCAAACAAGTGATGCAGTTGGCATGCTAAAAAGAAGCGGAGTCATTATATGTTCTACTTCTTAGCAAAGCCGATAGCTCTCATTTCATGTCTAAAATGTGATCATTTTAATTATGATGTTACTGGATGAAACAAACATTAATGTGACTTTAGCAATTTCACTTGCTGTTGTTACAAAAATTATTTTTTCACTGCCTCTTTGTTCCACATGACCTATTCTCTGGAAAATTATTCATTGTTTTGTCCATTTTTGAGTTAGTACAAATTACTGTCATTAGTTTTCGGGAAAGAGAAAGAGGTACAGGCAGTGAAACTCATACTAAGCTTTGACATTTTTTTAACTGTCGAATTAAAATCAAACGCTGTTCTGTGCCTTGGGAGCGCTTGGGTCGATTCCGACTGCTCGTGAGCCCCCAACATGGAGTGGACTGCCCCATCGGCTTTCCAAGCCTGGCCACATTCATGGGTCAGAGCCTCCTGGGAGGTGACTGGTGGGGGCAGACTCGTCAGCCTCTTGCTTAGTCCCGAGTGGAACCAAATTCCATACCAGAATTACTTATAAACAGAATGCCATCTGTAAATTACCAGGTCAGGCATGAGAGATAGACTGTGTTTACTTTGGAGCCAAGTATACGCCCTGTGTTAGGCCGGGTTGACTAGAGAAACAAATCCAGTATTTGTTTCTGAGGGAGCTTTCTTCCTTTTTTAAATACCTTTTTGAGGGCTCTTACATCTCTTATCACAATCCATACATTCATTCAGTGTGTCAAGCACATTTGCGCATATGCCACCATCATCATTTTCAAAGCATTCTCTTCCCACTTGAGCCCGATATCAGCTCCCCATTTCTTCCCCCTCCTTCTCCCTCCTGCCCTCTCACAAACCCTTGATAAGTTATAGATTATTATTTATATATCTTACACAATCCTCCATCGCCCCTCACCCACTTTTC